GGGTGGGGGTGGGGGGGAATCGGAGGGGATGAAGGAGAGAGGGATAGGCGGGGCAAGGCGACGGCGTGTTGTAGGTGATCACGGGTACTTAGCCAGCCCTCCCGGGGCCGGGGCTGAGCCGGCACGAGTGGTGAGAGTGGCACCTCATCAGCGCCAGCCGTACAGGGCGTCGTAACGTGACGCATATAGAAAGGCTTAAACACGAAAATTCATTTTCAGCCATTCTCTCGTCATTAGAGCGTTTTTAGCTTCTTTAGAGCGTTTTTCATAGAAAAAAAAGTTGAAAATTAATTTTTGTTTTCAAGCCTTTTCTTAGGCGTTTCGTTACGTTACGACGCCCTTTCAGCAGCCGTGTGCCATCACATCACCATAAAGCCAAAGCGGCAGCTAGGTGGATGAATGAGACGGAGAAAGAGGGAGAGGGGCAGAGAGAGAGAGGGAGAGAGAGAGAGAGAGAGAGAGAGAGAGAGAGAGAGAGAGAGAGAGAGAGAGAGAGAGAGACGGGCCGCGCCGTATCTCTGTCTCTCTAGACGGCCCGCGCTGTGCATGGACGCCGAGCGCCCACTCACCCGCTACTACTTTCCCTATTTGCGAGCGTGGCGGGAGGAGAAGGCGTCGGGTCCCGGAGGCGGTAAAGGGGAGGGGGGAGGGGGTCGGATAAAGGAACTCCCACGCACACACACACACATACACACAAACACACGCAGACAGGACCATAAAGCGTCCCGAGGCCCCGGCCACACACATGCACGCGATCACACGGACTGGCATACGCGCCTCCACCGCCCCGACGGCGCACGCGCACACACACACACCACACAACACGCGCACGCACGCACCTCCGCCGCGCACCGATGGGCCCGCTGGAAACACGCCCAACGTCGCCCAATTTACATGACAAAACGGCCGGGGCGGGCGACGGGGCGCCGCCGTTCGAGGCCGGCGGGGTCATGTGGGTTTCTTCTCTCACTTCACCTACCTCCATCACCTCCCACACTCACCCCGTCTCTCTCTGCCACCTACGACCTCCCTTTGACCTCTATCCCAATAACGCTTTACAACCCGCGCAAACGCCTTTGATGAGCTAAACAGACTTGGCCCCGCCTGGCGCCTTCACCCTCCCGCCTTCCCCGTCACGCTCCCTGCTGCTTGCTCTTCTGTGCCTCGACACACGGCCGATTGAAGTGCTGACGCGCCTGCCAAGACGAATGTGCCTAAGAGATCGTACAGTAGTAAAGTGTCTGCGTATTTTTTCTCAGATTCTGACAAATAACGGGAGCTCGGTGGTTCGGCGCCTGCGAGACTCGGGGTAGGCCAGCCCGCAGTACACGCACGCACTGCAGACGAGATGTGGCCTACCTATCAGGCGCTCTGCGCGCTTCACTGTAAAAACGACGTCCACGTTTTCAAGCAGTTTTGGAGAAAACAAGAGGTCTTATGGAAGAAATGCATGCAGACGGCGTGTTTTTTACAAAACTGCTTGAAAACTAGGACGTCGTTTTTACACGGTGAAAACTGTTCCTTGATATCAAAGGACCATCGGAAGGATCAAGGACGGGATAGGGAAAATTGCATGGGGCGTCCTTGAATCGTTCCGATGGTCCTTCGACAAGAAGGAACAATTTTCACCGTGTACCGTGTTGAATAGACTCGCAACAAGACAAGATTGCTTGTTCCTATTATTTGTTTTCCGAGGACCACGCCGAGGGGAGAGGGGTGGGTGAGTCTCCTTGCTCAAGGGAGACCCATGTCGCTGAGCGATAATACTGTAATCGACGCGTATACTTCAACAAAATCGATTTATTCGGCACGAGGCAGAGGAGTCCAATTTTATTTGATAAGGTTCCGACAGGGCGAAAACGTTACTTTCTATAGGAGAGAGAAAGCCAATCAAGCCGGAATGGAAATCGTGTAACGTATGGAGCTGCCCCGATGATGTGTGTTGTGTGTGTGTGTGTTTTATTTTTCGGCCTGGTGTGGGAAAACCCGGCCGTGCGCGCAATGTGGTGCCGGAACGCCCCGAGGCGCGGTGGGGCGGGGCGGGGCGGGGCGGGAAGGTGTTCGTCGTGGTTGGTGGGGGCGCGGCGGCGCGGGGAGGTGGGGGAGGCCCAAGGGCGAGCCGGCAAACATCCCTCCGGGAGAAACGGGCTCAATTAATTTCAATGGACTCGTTGCCGCTCCCCTCGATTCATCGCTTCCTCCTCCGGACGAGGGAACACACAGGAGGAAGAGGCCAACCCATCCACACATCGTCTCTCTCCCTCGCTCTCCCGGCCCCTCCCTCGCTCTCTCGGCCTCTCCCGCCGTCTCCCTCGCGACCATTGTGTCCTGCTCCCCCTTCTGAGACCACGGCCACCTGCCGCCCGCGCGCGCTGGACATGCTCAGGGTGGTCCAGCGGACCATGAACCACCCCTTCCTCCCTTCCGGTCGAGTCGATAGCAACGGACTGTCGAAGCCTTACACACAAATTAGTCTGTAAGCTGCGAAGCAGTTGATTGCTTTCTAGTACAAAGCGTTTGCTTTGCAATACAAAGGGATTGCTTCACTGATTGGAAATTACATCTTGGTTTGACCGGGTTTGACGCAATATGTCCTGTCATTTTTTTACACAAACTCTTCGTTATTGGCAGACAACGAATACATTTCGCCAAATTACGAACAGTTTTGATGTTACGTCACAGATTTTCCGCATTTCCTTTTTCGACTGTGCACTTCCAACTCAACGAACTCACGAGGAGGAGAGTGTTGCGAGTGCGAGGCGATAGAGAGAGAGAAAAAGACGGGGGGGGGGTAGAATATGTTGCGCTCTTCCTGTTTCGCTACTCGTCGTCGCTCCGCCATATAAAACTGAGTGCACGAGACAATTGTGTGCCCCCTACCCCACAGCATCCCTTTTTCCGAGAAGGCAAAGGCGTCCCTATTTACAACTTTGCCATTTTCACGTCAACGCCGGCGGCAGTTTGAGAGACCCGCCCACCGCGAGCTTTTCAGCTGCCGCACGCACGCATCTGCCGCTTCACAAACATTATACAGCGCGCGCTGGAAGATGTGTTTGCACTGGCGGTTACTCGCACGCTTTGTTGTTGTAATAAAGGCTGGGCTGCGGGCTTTACAACTCGGTTTACACTCATGGATGCGAACTCTGATGCTGCTGCATAGAATGTGTTGCCGCAGGGTCACGTGAAGTCTGTTCGTACGAAACATATGGCCCATGACATAGACCAAAGAGTTCACAAACCAAAGTCCTCGTCGCGGGCTGTCGGGCCGCGGTCGCCTAGGCAGAGAGCGGAATGCCGTATTCCGATTGTGGGGGCGGGGGGTCCTGCTGTTTGGTTAGTGTAAAATTGGTTCACTTGGCAAAAGCAGCGGTGCGGGCGGGCAAGCGACGCGTCGCGATACTGACGAGGGCGCGCGCATCGTACAGCGGGGAAAGGGCGCGGGAGAAGGGCGGTCGTCAGAACGCGTGGCAGGCAGGCCCTCATTTACGTGAATAGCCGCGCTACGCTCCGCCACGGCCCGCCACGACCTGCCACGCCCCGCCACGCCCCGCCACGCCACGCCACGCGAGGGGACCAATTATCGGCGCGCCCCGTCCAAAGGGATCGAGACGGCGGGGCGGACAAGCGGGGAATTTGTTAGTGGAATTGGGCGGGCAAGCGGGCAGGGAAAGGAAGGGGGAGGGCGAGAGAGGCTGGGGGGAGTTCCTCTCTGCTGCTGGTCGTGTGAAACGGAGAGGCTGCTCAGCAATTATGGGAGACGAAAAATAAAGTGAATCAATCGAGCCGCTTTAGCTAGAAAGGAGAAAACATTAATGGTAGAAAAGGTTTAGGGTGGGGAGGGGCAAAGAGGGAGAGGAGAGGAGGAAGAGAGAGAGAGTGTGTGTGAGAGATAGGCTCAACACCCATGCACACACACACGCGCATGCATGCATACCGGAGCGTCTCGCCGTCACCTGACAGCCAAGAAGTTCCCCACCGGAGCAGCAGTGCGAGGAGAGGGGAAGGGGGTTGTGTGCGGCATCAGCAGCAGACGACAAGTTTGTCTGCTTACGGGTTGCTCGTCGTGGTGTGGCGGCGGGGTGACAGGCTAGTCGTTGTGGTGCTGGCGCGGCGCGCCAGAACACCCCCACCGTATCACAAGTATTTGCTCGGGCTCGGTGCAGAGTTTGCGCGCTTACCGTCGGCTGACGCGGCCGCTCGGAGATGCGCCGGATACTTGGCGATAACCCTCTTGATGACATCCACTTGCTCCAGAGTGAGCTGCACGGCGTTGAGATACTGCGACTCGCACGGCACGTACGCCGCCCAAAACTGAAATCAAAAGTTTTCAACATCAATGTCAGATCTAATCACCTATGTACAATGTATACAGAAAAGTGTGTGACTTCTATTGTAAAATGTGTGTGTACTATGAGCCATGGTCTATGGTTGTTCACACACTCTTTTCTGTGTGACATGACTGGCATGTACACTTTTGTGTGTGACATTTTGGCACGCACTTTTAAGCGTTCGAATATCACACACTTCTGTTTTCAGATTACAAGTCTCGAACGTTTCTAAGGAAACCAAGCATACAAATGCTGGAATATCTAGTAAGCGTAAAGTGGAAACTCGATCATTGCAGACCCGTGATTGTTCGGCCACCGTTGGCTGCAACAACCCCGTCATTTAAAATATAGATGAAATGGGTGGGGGAACACTTCGGGAAACACAGGTAGGCCGAGCCGACTGTGGACATGTCGCATTTGTCGAATCAGGGGGAGCCGACCGGCCGTGCTGCTTGCCAGCGCCAGCCATCACTCTCAAAGCCACAGACCGAGCTGGCAGCCAAGCCTATCGCTCAAACGGCGCGGTGCAGCACGGCACGGTGCAGCACTACGAGCACGGCGCCGCGAGAGCCTGTCCAGCTGGGCTGTAATCGCCAGCGTGCAGCAACAGCGAAACAGATGGGGCGGCAGATGTAGCAGATGTAACAGCAACAAAATAAGCAACAGCAACAGCAGCGGAAAGAGAAGCACAACACATACAGGGGGTGGGGGAGTCTCCAGCCGATTGGGCGCTCCTAAAATAAACTGGTTTTGGTCTGTACTGACTCTGCCCCGTTAGTGAAACGCCAATAAAACGACAGCATCGTTTCATACGAAAAAAAGAGAATTGTAAAGACAAAAGCTCAATCAAGAATATCGATCGTGAAAGCAGATAATCTAGGTGAAATTTAAGAGCATGGCTTGGTAGACTAATTTTCCCTAATGTTTAGAAAAATGCTTTGCAGTACTACGAAAAAATTGAGGCTGATATGTTATTTTATTTTTCCTGTTGTTTTCGGCAGGGTAAGGAGCCTTGCGATTACGACTGCTTCATTCATCCTCTCCCCTCACTCACCTCACGATTCCCTCCAGCGTTACATTTTACATGTTACATTTGCTGGTCTAGCGCTTACTTTCCTTACTTCCTCATCCTGAGTCATTGCCGGTAACCTTTGGACACATTTGACATAACTTATATGTTGTAATGCACGGATGTTTCTGCTCAGATAGTTTTGGAAACAAAAAAAAACTTAGCGGGGAAAACTTTTTGGTCACGTAAGGAAAAGGGTTTCACTTTCTCAGCAGCCAAACGAACTCGAACGCGTCAGCTTGAACTTTTTTAGGCGGTTCAGAGGCAAAATTTTGCAGCCAAGTCCCCGTGCTACTGCCTTGCCGCTTCCGCGCTGCCCGGCCCGAGCCAATGAGGCCAGAGCTGCGTTATGCGTGCGGAGCGTTATGTGGCGCGTGACGCGATAGCGCTGTGGGACGAGTAACGATGCCGGAGGGGAGGGGGGTGAAAAACATAAACGCCTGTCAGCGCTGCGGTGAGGCCGCGTGGCTGGCGGCTCTGGGACCGTTTCACTTAGCCAATGGTGTGCCATTCGCTATGCACAGCTTTCAATTTCAACAGGCGTCTGGCGACGGCCTGTAAGGCCGTACGGCATTTTACACATATATCTGCGTGAGAGGTCGTCAACAAAGTACGTCCGTCGTCCGCCGTCACTCCACTCGCAGTTACGAAAATTGTCAAATTCAGCCCATGTAAACTCTCCTAGTGCTTTGGTAGGGAGCGCATCTTACCTGCAGTTGATGTGTTTACTTCGGGGTGGCCTACCACGAGTTTTGCATGTGCCGAACTTCCGTCACTTTCCGAATGAATCCGAGAAAAAACGGACGTACTTTCTGGAAGATCCCCAAACCTTATGCAGATATCGCTTAGTTAGTTTTGCTCACTACAAACACCACACAGTGTTGGAAAGCCTGTTCTTGGCACACAAAAAATGTTGTACGCAACTCGAGACTCGAGAACATTGAATTGGCACGTTGCAGGATTGCCAGGGCAATGTTCTCTCTCCAGATCAGGGGTCTCAGACTGTGACGTCACGCGGGCCGCACGAGTCGAACCTCTCACTCGCACTCACTGCGATCACATAGCTCCATCTCTCTCCAGTGCGGCCCTTGCGGCCCGCGGGCCGCGTGTCTGAGACCCCTGCTCCAGATCCCTAGCACGTGTTTCCGCGACCCACCTGTCCGCCGACGGAGCCGGCGCGCAGCCTGCTGAGGTCGGTCTGGCTCCACTTGCTGCGGCTCCACGGCCCCGGCCCCTGGCGCAGGTCCTCAAGCTGGAGCCGCGCCAACCGGTTGTGCACGAACTTGCGGATGTTCCACGGCAGGTCGTTATGCCCGTCGATGAGCGGCTCCTGCTTGAGCAGCTTCTTGACCAGCTCCAGGCGCTCCTTGGTGCCCAGGGTGCCGCTTAGCCCGAGCAGGTCCGGCTCGGGTTGGCTGGCGAGGGCCGCGGACCCGTCCGGGGCGACGTCGTCATCCTCGTCGTCGACGGCGTCCATGTTGACCCCCTGCTGCTGCTGCGTCCTCGACGGTGGCACCGAGGACGGCGATGGTGGTGCTGCGGGGGCGTCGTTGACGGGGGCCTCCGCAGGCGACCGTGGTGGTGACCCCGGGCCCGGGGCACTTGTGAGTGCGCTCGCCGACGCGTCCGTCGCTTTAGGTCCAGGGCCGCTCACCACCCCGCTCACCAGCAGCAGCAACAGCATCACCAGCATCCCTGAGGACAAAATTTATCACATTTCAAAAACTTCATTCGTTTTCTGCATCGTCTTAGCGCGATCGCCTTGAGACTATAGCGTCGGTTTCACATTCTCAGAAGGGGTTGAAAAAATATTTCCTCTGTCCCTTAGCTTAATTCTTCTTACCTATCAAAGGCCTAAGCCGTGGGGTTCATCTCGCCGTTTAATCTCGACGGCTTAGCGCACTGAGCCAAGAAAAAGGGGGAGTGGAAGGAGGGAACTGTGGGCGCTGAGGAGGGAACGTTGGCCCCAGGACCTACCCCCAACGATGCCAGCACGCCGAGAGGACTAAATACCAAACAACGGCACCCAGCAAAGATTATTGCATGTGTCTATTACTTCTATCAGGGTGAAATGGCTGTTCAGTCGTACACTACTTGAACACTTGTTTTGGTTTTTTGCTTTGCAAAATTACAGTGTAGCGGCCTGCTCATCAAGTAAGGCACCCCGCGCGCTGGGCCGCGCCGCCGGCAAACTCTGCCTCTCTGCGAATAACTTATCGGTCGCAAACTATTTCCCCGGATTACCATCCTAATCGTCACTGTCATTCTCTGCCAAGGCCAGCGGGCCTTCCAGCGTCGCTGGGCTGAGAGCAAGGGATCCTGAGAGGGAACAAGAGGGAGGGAGGGAGGGAGGGAGGGAGGGATG